ATATTTGATCACCGCATAGAAAAATTATTTTACATTAAGGAAATTATTTATTACATTAAGGAAATTATTTATTAAGGACAAAAATAATTATGTAACTCACTTCTCTAAGAAATCTGTTGCATTTGTGATTAGAAATTTATTCTTTTCATTTATCACTGTTTAATGATAGCAAACCAATTTCTAACAAAACAATATTTGTTATGTCATCGATAATTTAAGCTATGTGGTATCGAGTCATCATCAGTCGTATTCAGTTCAGGACATTATATCTATCTAAATTTAGAAAATTGAATATATACAACGCGTAATATAATCAATTTAATATAAATAATTTAAAACAGAAATGGGATGGTTATGTGTATTCAAATACACAATAAAAATGCAATAATTAATAAAACTATATATGCTCATGTATTTTGAATTAAATCGCATATTTGCTTTGTTTAATATTTTAAACTCTCATGGGGAATTCAACATTTTCGCATAATACAGTATTGTACTATTAGCATAAATTGTGTACAGTATACTATTGCTAAATCTATTTCTTGGCGCTCCTGGTCCTTTACTTAAAAAAATGCTAAAATTTCATGAATTTCACATGTTAGTCATGATGATAAATGAATAGAAAATTAACGTGTTATGCTGTTGGCATTATTTCATTACACGTCAGCTGAAAATGCTTTCATAAACATTTTTTTAAATATATTTTATGTTAGAGATTGTGTTTATACATGGAATATGAAATAAGAAATGAACTGATCATGTTAAAGAAAATAGAATAAATTTTTCTTTCCTCTAGTTATTTTTTATCAAGATTATTTATTTAATGTACTATAGTGTCTTTGAAATAGTAGATACATTTGATAAAAAAAATTTTATATTAAATAAAACATATATAATTTAAAGTAAAAAATATATCTTTTAAATTATTTCTAATTTCATTAAGCATTTATGATATATCTCAGACAATAAAAACAAAAACATTTTCTTTGTGTAATATTCAGTTTAACAACATATAAAATATCTTATTTGCGAATAATAAGATAAAATTAGAAAAACAAATTAAATTAATTTTGATGAAAGCTATTTAAGTATTAAATTTGTAGCATTCTCACTATTTTCTAGAACATGTGCATACACACGACGACTAACGAAATCGTTGCATATAATACATTTATAAATATAAAAATTTGTAAAGAAATAAAAAATAATCGACAACATAATTTTTTACATCATTTATAGAGTTGACATATTTATTAATATTTATTTCTTAATATTATATGAAATTAGGTTCTTAAAAATTTATATGATTTTCACGTTATGCAATAAATATTCTTTTGCATTCCATACGATATAATGGCAAGTTAGAATAATTTACAAAATTGAACATTTTGTTAGGTGTTACGTAAAACCTACACTAATTTGTAAAAACTAATAATTAGATATATCAAGAATGCGTTTAAAAACATTATATGAGTATAATTTTATTCTTGTTTAAAATTTTCAATGAATAATAAGGATAAGATGATACTCTGGTAGTTTTCGAATTTTCGAATGCAGCAAGAAAATCCTATTGAAATTTTATTACCAACTTTAAAATCTACGTACCATAAGGCATTGATAGTAAAAAGTATAAGTGCCAATAAAAATAATCCTAATTCATGATTTTACTTAATTCTCTCTAATAAATGATCATTAAAACTGTATTTCTAGAATTATATTATAATAAAAGCTTAAGTATACATTTTAAGTATCTTTTTTTAAACTTCATAAGTATTTATTATTCTCGCATATTTTACACTATATACAAGCATGTGTGTGTGTGTGTGCGTGCGTGCGTGCGTGCGTGCGTGCGTGCGTGCGTGCGTGCGTGCGTGCGTGCGTGCGTGTGTGTGTGTGTTTGTATATATGTTTAAACTATTAAAGAGTTTTATATACACTACCGTCGATAAGTTTCCGAACATAGAACTTAAAATTGCATAATACTTAGGTCATCGTAACTCGGTAAAGAATCATCGCAAAAAAATAAAAAAACATTTTAATGCTTGAAATTTATATTTCAGCTTTTGACTACTTTTCAAAAAAATTTTGTCTTTACAGTTCTGTATCTTAATAAATATCACGTTGTTGTATTTTTTAAAATTATTACATACATTTAACAGTGCGCAATTTGATAAAAAAAATAGATAAAAAGAAAAATCATAAGAAAATTTTTAGAAAAGCATTTTAGTTAAATCTTTGTACTGTTTTTCAAAAATATTATATGAGCTCTAAAAAAAAACTTTTTATCAAACTAAATGCACTGTTAAACATACGTAATTTTAAGAAATACAATGTGATATTTATTAAAATACAGAACTGTAAAGACAAAATTTTTTTGAAAAGTGCTCAAAAATATACTGAAATATAAGTTTCAAGTTTTAAAATACTTTTTATTTTTTTTGCCTGCGATGATTTTTTATCGGGTTATGATAATCTGAATATTATATAATTTTAAGTTCCATATTCGGAAGCTTTTCGACGGTAGTGTATATATAAAATTATCATTGCTCTGGAGCGTACGCACACAACTAAAGAAAACTAAGTAACTGTTTAGCAACTAAAGAAAACACAACTAAAGAAAAACTAAGTAACTTTTTAACTCTTATGAGATCCATTCTCATGAATCATTCTTAAGTCATTTTTCAAATAAATTATTGTACAATAACTTCAGAATAAGATTACAATTTAAACAAGCAAAATTGAGGAATATCATACGTTATTTGACACTAAAAGAAATTTGTGAGATTTCACATTGAATTCATCCTATTCGGGTGATTAAAATATGTTGCTTTCTTAAGATCGCCAATAATAAAATAAGATTTGCTTGAGCAATGATAATATGCAAAAACAATTGCGTGTGGTCCACATCTAAATATCTGGAGATATTATTAGCGTTGTCGAGAAAACACTCCGCATCTTGAATTATCCGATTAGGATGTATGCAACACATGTGATATCTTACAAATGTGCTCTACTTATTAATTATTTCTTTGAACATTTGTGCACAATCTGTAGGATAAGGTGGTACAATTTCCAACATTGTTCAATATTAAACAAAATAAAATCTGATTTTCAAGATTCAAATATGATAATCTTCTCTTTGTGGAAGATATTGAACTCGGTATTAAAGGTTACCAGAAAGAAAAAAATCAAACTTTCAAAATTGGATTCTGAAATCTTATTTCGTTTAGAATTGTACGATGTTCGAAATTGTATCATTTTATCTTATATGAATATACTATTATCAATATAACTGCATCTGTATCAAAACTGCATGATCTGTATCAAATCTGATTTGAAACATTTTGTCATGTACCTGAGATAAGCATTTCATAAAAATATTTTTCTTCATTATACATAATACCCTGACAACTATATAATTTCTTTCATATCAACAATCTGATCTATTTACAATGATAGAACGGTATTGAAAATAGGTATTTTTCGTACATATATTCGACTATTTTGCGTGTTAAAAGACTTAAGTTTTTTTAATATAAGGAATGACAACAGCAGAAAAGTAAGAAACCGAAATAAAGATACATCGCTTATTCTGACGGATTCCTTCGGCTCGGAACAATCTTGCTCTTTTTTTTTGACGAATCATTTAATAGGCATTCTTCTCGAATAGATTGAGGATATTTTTGATCAGGATAGTTCCACGCCTGTATGTCCGCTGTACCAAATATTTGGTAGGCAATATATGTACTGCAAGATACACCCGCAGTAACGGCAAATACTCTTCTCCACGAATCGAGAGATTGCTACAGAAAACATAACGTTATTTTTAGAAAGAGATAGAGAAAAATAAAAGAAGAAATTATAACGCTTACGCTTTCTTGTGTGAGCAGACCAGCAGCTATAGGAGATAGAAAACTGGCGGTCATGTGAATTGTCTGCGCGAACGCTAACACTGGTCCTGAAAATAATAAATATTGATTTATAAATTCATATTTCCATATAAATAAATATATTCGTACTGAAAATACGCGCACTGACCAGCAAAATTGGGTGCGATATCGACAATGTTCGCCATTGCGCCCGCGTAGCCGGCTGTTATGAGAGTAACAGCTATAAACCACACGATCAAAACCAGGATAATATCGCAGCCCAAGTATCCAATTAAGACCACAAGAATTCCGGGAACCACTTGAGCTATAAGCAGAAAAAATCAATTGCTGCAATTTATCTTCCGAGTATTGATTAATTTAAGGAAAATCACAAATGAACTCACATAGTGCGGTAAATATCTTGCGCACAGTGATTAAAGTCATGATTTGCCGCGTGACTAGGAGATCCGCAACGTAGCAGAATACAACGGAGCTTAAGTAGCTACAGATAAATGGTGCACCTGACAGGATACCATTCTAAACGAATTAATAACGTTTATTATTATATGCGTTAGTCATATATATTGAAAAAATTTAAAAAAGAATATTTTCAAATGATAAATACGTACCGCTTGTATACTAAATCCTAATACCGTCTTCATATACATCGGGCCAGGAATGATAAAGACATAATGTACCCATATTCTTCCGAAGGTTGTAATACCGATAGCCCATGCTGGCCAAGACATGAGTATAGACTTCCAAGGAACGGGCAGATCCTTTAAGAGAAAAAAATACATGTAATTACATACGTTCATTTTAAGAAGATATTGTATTTCTTAAATGCGTTTTTTCGGTATGGCATACTCTTTTCCAATGTTTTTTCTATTGCTTATAATTTTTTTTTTATTAATAAAGATACATTTGCTTGGAACCGTTATGTTTCTTAATGTCTAACGTTTCGATTAAAAAGAATTTTTTTATAATATATTCATTTTTATGAAAGTTATAAGCAATTGAATTGGATTGGGTATGCTATACATTAGTGTTGTTCCCGAAATAAGGGGTGTTCAAGAGTTAATAATTACAGTTACTATGAATCACTTTACCTCGTCTGCTCCGATAACTTGATTTCTAACGCATTCCTGAATGTAACGAAGTTCCGGCTTAGATATTCGAGGATGCAAAGCAGGTGTGTCGAAGGCGCAAAGATACCAAAAGATACACCAGACGAGACCGATGGTGCCAGTCGTGTAGAACACAATCCTCCATCCGAAGTGAGCGATGATGAACGCGCACAACGGATAGGTCAATCCAATGCCGATGCTGAACCCTGAATATAGACAACCTAGATGTTAGGAATAGCTCACCCTACGATCCCGGAAGGAAGCTGAAACATGATGCTTGTCGAATGGTCTTCATCTTGATTTGTTACGATTCACGTGTGGTGATGATCATTCTTCAGTTGAGGTGTATCGTATCTCACTCTGTAAAGCGATTTAAGTAAAGACTTAGTACGCAGGGACGGTGATAGGGAATGATGAAGCTGTTAATAGTGGGACAATGAAACTTCTATGTCTGCAAATAATAAAAGTTTAAAGTACTCGTTCTACCTGCAAAATAAGTGTCACTCTTCTTATGCAGAGAATCACAAAAAATATATCATATTGAAAAAATGAAGTTATACGCGTATAAGTCAAGAAGAAAATGCAGATCTTTATTTCCATAATAACATTTCTTTTGTTGCTGTTATGTTATTGTTATGCACTTGTGTAAAATGCACTTGTGTAAAAATTTACGTACGTTCATAAATAATATTTTTAATATCATAAAATATTATACTCAAAATGGTCAAATAACATTTGTTTAATGACCATTTTAAACGATTTATAATTCATGTCAGAATTCGAGATATTTTTTTATAATTTTATATGCCACATATAATACGAAAAAAAAAAAACATTTACAGAATTAGAATACAATAAATAAAATATACATTAAAAAATACATAGCATATAAAATCAAACTTTTTATTCTATACTTAAATCAGACGCGAATTATAGTGCAAAATGAATTGAAGGATGTAAATAATATTCGATATTTTGTGTGTATAGAAATAAAGTCTAATAGGTAGCTTAGGTAATAGTTTAGAGAGCAGAAAAAAATTAACGCGCCACAGTGTAAATAAAACAAATGTACAAAATGAAACTTGTGGTCCGTCTCTGGAAAAGTTTGAGTGAGAAAGATGATTAGATTTATTAATTGCGCGCGCGCGCACTGCAGACAAATGAATGTAGTCAAAAGAGAATTTATACATATAAGAAAGATAGTATAGAGACAATATACATATTCGACGAGTCCGGCTGATTCTACCAGCTGGAAGTATACTCGGCCTTTCTCATGCTGTTGAGCGGTCGCTGTTGAGTATACCCCTCGGTCCGGCGAATGCAACCTCATGGAGATGAACTATTTCGGGATTAATTAACAAGTGATCAATTCTGGCGCAGATCAATGCGCAATGTTTATAGAGAATTATTATCATTTTAGCAAGAGATTATTTTCTTGATCCGGAATTTTGACTGAAACAATAATATAGTAGTTTCTCATTCGAACTTCCGTATTCCATTCTGAAAGAAGCGTGCATTAGTATTCATGTGAACACAATCGAAAGAAATATGCGAGTTTCATTTTACGGCATCATATACTTGCGACTGTAATATGAGGCTACGCGCATAGTTTTCGCCTAATTTTGGATCGAACGTATTGAAGTTTCACTGTAACACACGAAAATCTCTGTTAGCCGGTAACTTATAACATACCTTGAAAGGAAGACATGAAGCGTGAGCGTTCCACGGGTGGAATCCAGTGTCCGATTACGGCGTACATCGCAGGCCACGTGAGTCCCTATTCTCAACAAAAAAATCAACATAAGTCACAAAAATTTTTTTTGCTCTCATCCCAATCAATAGATAAATTTCAATAATATTTCAAAGAAAAAATTTCATAAGAAAATGTAGATCTTTATTTCCATAATAATATTTTTTTTGTTGCTGCCTTATTGTTATAAATACATTTGTGTAAAAATTTACGTACATTCATAAGTAATATTTTTATCATAAAATATTATATTTAAAATGGTCAAATAACATTTGTTTAATGACCACTTTAAACATGAATTTATAATTCATGTCAGAATTTGAGATATTTTTTATAATTTTATATGCCACATATAATACGAAAAAAAAAGATTGTTCAAAAGATTTGAAATGTCTTTTAATTTTTATGATATTCTTTAAATATTTATCTTGTTTAAATATATGACAGTAAATTTAAATCTAATCTAATTTAATTTCATCATTTATAAAAGATTAATTATATATATAAATAATATATGGCAAATTGCATTGCAAGTTTCACATATATTGTAGCTTATAATGTAATGAACAAAAATGTTACATGACTCAAAGCATGGATAATTTTTAAATTATAGTGTGTCGAGATAGAGTAAGATGCTTCGTGAGCAATTTTACTCTTTTAATACACCATAAAAACTCCGTTATTCAATTTTGTGATCTTTTCACCACATTATAAGTTCATCATACGTGAAAACTAATTCATTTCGCTGATACAATTTTCCATATAATTATAGTGCGGGATTTTTTTATTCGATGATTAGAGACTTACACTGGTAAAGCCTTGTATACTACGTAACGCTATCATAGCCCCATAATGGATCTCCGCGGCAGTCGGCATAAGGAGACTGCAGACGGCAGTGATGGCTTGAGATCCGCCGAATATAGTTTTAGTTCCGAAGTACTGAGTGAGAACACCGCCGAGCATTTGCGAAAGTATATAACACCAATAAAAAGAACTGAGAATGGTTGATTGAATAGTTGGACTCCACTCGAATTCGCCAGCATCCTGTTTGTAAGAATAAAGATATGATATTATAGTGCAGTATATGCGACAAGTTTGAATTAAGAGGATTAGTTTTTTATCGGATTGAAGATTGATGGAGAGGGAAGGTTAAATTTATTAAAAAAAAATTTATTAAGAGTTAAATTTATTGAGAGTCCAAGGAAGTGTAATAAGTATTAGTTTCAATCTTTCCTCACAAATCATTTTCTTAAAAATTATAATTTTAAAAAGATAGAATAGGAAAAAATTTATAGTTTTTAAGAAAAAAATAAATAAGCTATATACGTTTAATTTAATAAAATTTCTTATTTTGCTGATTGTTTTTCTTCATTATTAATGGTAAAAAGTTTTTAGTAACTCATTAATCTTACTAGCTTGAATTATCTTATAAAACAGATAATGAAATTATTTCCATAGCAAAAAAAATTACAGTAGTATCACAATAAAATCAAGGTGACGCGCAAATGTCTGTTTTGTCACAGATTGATATCGTTATGACATCAATATGAAACTATGATAAAGATTCACCTCACTGTGATACTGTTATGACATATACAGATTAAGATAATATGATGTCATTCACACACTGTGAATTTTTAATACACAATAACATCATAATTTATTTATGATTATTGTGAATGAATGTGATATTTTTTTCTTATGGTAATAACATAATTTGCTTTATAATCACTTATCTGATTTGCTATTGAATTTTTTACTAACTTTGTTTCGTTTTTTTTTAAATTTGTACGCTGAATATTCTTTAAAGAAATTTTTCTTGATCTTGATGTCAATACATGTATGACGTGAAATACATGTATTATATTTACATTATATATTACGACACAAAGTATCTATATCGCATTCATTGTATTCAAAGAGATTGTCCCGATCTTAAACTACTGTATAGTTCACTATACAATAAAGTATTCCGACTAAAATAAACCTGTCTGTGACTGAACAAATATTTGCTAATATGAGCATTCAAATCTCTTTAGATCTGATTTTAATGGAACTATGTTTTATTTTAATAAAAAAAAACGTTTTTAAAATTCAATTTAAGAGAAATTTATTAAATAATTTATACTAAATAATTAATTTTTTCAAAATTTTAACTATTTTTTAAACATATATATTATGATGGACAGCTGCTCTAAGATGAGGTCGATAGAATTAAATAATTTTAAGATATCTTCAAATTTGATCCATTACAATATATACAGGGTTTGAAGGGATTAATTTGATAAAAGAGAATTATATAAAAGAACAAAAAATATTTTTCTCTGAGTAAATTGGAAAGTTCCTTTTTTGTCGGGGAAATAAAAAAATTGTTATTTTGAGGATCTGACAAAATGAATGATACATGGATAAAAAAAGAAATAATGCGCATTATGTAATCGTACCTCTGGTCTGATTACAGTAGTGTTCTCTGAATACGACTGATTTGATATTGTGTAGCACTGAGACGTTACTACGGCGGTTTCATTGTCTGATGTTGACGGCAATTTCGCCATAGCCACCATGGCGATATTAATGTCCGTTCTCATCATGAAGGATACGAGGAATCCGGAAAACGAAAGCATGTACAGCACGACACGTGCTGGAATCATATCTGCAATTATAAAATCAATGCAATCTTTATTAAGAACCATATAAACAGTATCGACAGTAGAAAGGATAGTGATAATACAAATTGTCATTTTTTTTCTTTCTTTTTTTCCAAACAAAAACTATTTTGTCATGCTGGTATGTTATAAAGAATATTACCTCCCAATTTTCGTAAACTGCAAGGTGGCTGTTCCGTGTACATATCAGATTCTTCATATCTGTAAAATAAAATTACTGCATGATATACAATATTTTTTGAAATAAATAAAAGTCGTATTTTTCAGATAAAATTTTCAATTTTCTTTATAAAGGAAGGATCAAGTAGCGAACACTTGGATTTCCTAACTTTAAATAAATTTGGTATTTTTCTCCCTCACTAATTTATAAGCAAATGGCACAGCACAATATTCAATATTTGCGAGGAATTTGGAATTTTTTATTAAATTACGAATCGATATTGTATGTACGGTTGCAGGAATTAATGTTAAAATATTAAAATGTTTTAATTATAAAATGACAATTTTTTTATTACATGCGTTGCTTAATCATTTATTTAAATGCAAATTATGTAAAAATTTACATTAAAAAAGGCACAGGAGAAACTTTTGATGCGAATTCTTACGCATATTTAAATATTATTGATCACTTGCTCATGAATACGAGGGAGAGAGAGAGAGAGAGAGAGAGAGTCTAATCATATTTAAAGTTAGACTAAATCTGTGTGTACTTGTTCGTTCTCTGGTTAGAGAATAATTTAATATCTGTGAGTGAAATAAAAAACTATTCAAAATCTGATAAAATAATCGTAACAAGTTTCTTAAAAATACAAAATAATATCGAGTACTTATCTATTTAAAATGTTAATAAAAATAAAAAACATACTATTTAAAACGGATACATACAGAAATTACAAATACGAATAAAAACAAGAATATATTTAAAATCTGATTTTTCACCTTTGAGATTCTTCCATTCTTTGCGTGGAGCTTTTTATTATATTTGATATTTTAACAGAGTACAAAAACGAATCTATTGTACATAAAGATCACCTTGGACTCTGCAAAATAGAGAGAATTAATCTAATTTAATAATTATCACTTTATAAAAATGAATTGTTTTTTAAATTTTATGGGACATGTCGGTTTATATGAGTTTTCACGGTATTTGAACTATTGCATCAAGGTCATGATTTATGTGAACAGAATGAAATTCCAACACGAAACTCATATCGACATTCTTGAAATCCTTGTAAATACCTTTGCAAAAATTTATTTATAAATGTGTTATCCATTAAGAATCCAAAAAAATTAATTAAAAAATAATTACTCTCTTTTGACTTTACAGAGCTTTCTACACGATAGTGTTTTTCTCTTTTAATTATTAAATATCTTGCGTGATTTTGTTATGATATTAACAAACTATAAGCAATAATATATAATTTCCATTATTTAAAGATTTTTCGTGCCAATTTGTTATATACATGAAGCCTTTGTATTTTATGGAATAATAAATATACATAAATTTTGTATCATTATTTAGTTTAACGTGAGTTAAGCCTATTCTACAATTATGCAATTGTAAGTGATTGTAGTTGTAAAAATTCACCAATTACAACTGAATATGAGAAGAATATACAACTGTGATTGGTCAATTCTTATAATTACAACCACTAACAATTACACTTACGCAATTGTAGAATAGGCTGCTTTACTGCGATTATTTAAATTACAGTATAACGCAATTCCAACTAATAGCGAATTCGATTGGACGTAAGTATTCAGAGTGCACTTAAAGTCGTTACATATTGAGCCATCATACATAAATAAAAATGTGTGTTTAATAAAAATGTAAAAACGGATTAAACCGTGAAATTCTCAATATATTTTATTGTGCTATTATAAGTAAAATCTATATTTTATAATTCAAATATATATTGCATTTTACTTTTATCCAGATTAAATCAGTGTACAACGATTTTAATATGCACACTATAAAAAAATAAAATGTTAATTTCAACTTAAAGACAGTGGACTTTCTGAAGTATGCAAAAATGTTAAAATTAATATTTTTGTAATTTAACTTTAACATTTTTACATACCTCACAAAGTTCATTATACTTTACTCTTTAAGTTAAAATTAACACTTCATTTTTTACAGTGCAGTACACACTAATGTGCAAACTAATGTATTCAACCGAATTCGCTATAAATATATACAATGTCATATAATAAAATTATCACATTTTTTCTTTTTACAAAAAAAATTCCATATTTATTAAAACAGCTAGAAAAGTGCTATTATATTTTCGATAAGTTTAACTTAGATATAAAAACATTTTAAATATTTTACGCACAATGAATTGTATTTAATAAATTTCTATACTAATTCTATATATTTCTAATAATCTTTAAATAACATGTTTAATTATATTCTTGAGACTTCCACGGATGCTTTCTATATAAAGATTATGCAGGTTTTTTCTATGTCCAGATCCATTCTTGGAATGCCCATGTTTTTTATTTGCCAACATGTTTAATTATTCTTTCCTGCTATTTAGATAAAGCACAAGAATAATTAAAATTGTATGTAAAATTATCACATACTTCCACAAAAATTGTTGAAACAGTCATTTATACATAATATATAATAGTAAAAAGAGAATACAATTATTTTTTCCTGGAAAAAAAATATTAATTGTATTTGGAAAATTTGTGCTAAGTTTAACACGTGTTCCGTATAGCCCAGATTTCAGATTTTCTATGTTATTTTAAGATGAATAAAAGTAATACATTTCATTAAAGTAATACAAATATTATGTAAAAGAATTAACACAAAAATATAAAACTGATAATTTGTAAGCAAATTGTGGAAGTATATTTTTCAGTAAAATTAACACTTTTTGATATATTAATTTAACATGTTTATTTATTCACATGTTTATTTAACCTTGGCTTTACATTTTGAAATATATTATTTTCCTATTATTTGTTTATTTGTTTTTAAATTATACTCTTTTGATATTAGAGAAATGTTAAATATCACAATGTAATATAAAATTTATACATTAACAAATAACATAATCACATTATGTTAAATTAGCACTCGGATACTTATCTCTTAAATACTTATCTCTGAAAAATAAATAAATAAATAAATCTCTAAAAAATATAAATTATATAATAAATTATATAAATTATATAAATTATAAAATTATATAAACAATAACTAAACAAAGAGTTTCTAGGACCGTATATGAATGTATAACAAGAAAAAAACCTTTAACAATCAAGTTCGATCTTAAGTTCGATCTTAAATAATTCTATGTAAATTTATATACCTATGTAATCATTTAAATATGCCAAATTAATTTTTCGGTTTTGAAACGCAAATCAATTGAACTACAATAGTGATACTCCATAAATTAAATTGCTTTAATTTGATGCAGATATTTGATAAAGATCTTATTAATGCTGGATATTATATTAAAATTTGTAAATAATTTTATTGCGAAAAATATAAAATTATATAATATTGAGTTAAAAATTTAATTCAAAATTTTAACAAAACTTAAGTAGACCGGTAATACAAATACTTAGTGTTTTTGATTGGGTGCATAAATTTATCAGGAATACAGAAAGAAGATGTATTGAAAAACATACCTAAAAAATATTAAGATCGACACAGAAAAACGAAGTTTGACCGAGAAGACTAATAATGGAAATGAAATCGAAAAACATGTAAAGGCAAGATGATAAAAGCAAAGCATAGAATATGAAAAAAGGGGGGATTAATATGTAGGAGGGGGAATGTATAGGATGTTGGGAAAAATTAGGTAGAAGACAAAGTAAGGAGGAACGACTTAAACAGTAATTTCTTGTGATTTTGCTAAACTCATGTTTTTGTTTTCTTATATGCACCATTTCAGAAATTAATTTTTTATTATAACTTGATTTATTGTTTGAGATCTGCAAGGCATTACATTTGAAATCGTGATTAGTTGTAAGACTGCAGTTGAATACAACAGGAGAACCACTTTTCTTTTTGAACGTTAACGATGTGCTTAATAGATTTTAGTTTTAAGTTGATGTTTAAGTTTTGTCTGTCTAACATATATCGTAATCATGAAATTTTGTATACTATGCATTGAGTTGATTGTGAAATATATGCCGGTATTCATAGTCGATTTTTATATTTAAAATTGTCCAAGTATAGTTTTAAAATGTCATCGATCAGAGAGCCGTATTAGCATCTTAAGACATTGCTTAAGATGGTTTTAACATAAGAACTGATATGTTGATTTATATATTGACCATAAATTCTAAGACAGCCTTACCAATTTTTACGTATTTTTTGAGAATAGATAGAAAATTTTCTAAGATGGTATCAATATAAAGACACTCTCTTTAATGGGACAATTATCTACCGGAGAAAGTGGATTTCCCGTATAAGTCCCAATAATAAATTAATTTTTTTGATAACAAATTTATTTAAAAAAAAAATTACAAAAGGGAATGAAATGTATAAAAAAGTATAAATCAACAAAATGTTATCTAACAAAATGTTTGTTGAAAAGCATTTATCAACAAAAATTTTGGCAGATAATTATGCCAACATTCAAGTCAAAAGAATAATTTGAGCATTGTGCAGATAAAAATCTATTTTATATATATATATATTCATTCTCTATAAAATATATATAATATATAATCTTATTAAATAAAAATTACTGATAGTTTATATTTTTTATTAGAATTGGAATCAATAAAACTTAATTAATCTGACAATTGTGAGTCTGATAACTCATGATATTTTACTGATTTAATTCCTTGGACCATTTGGTCGATCATCAGAACTACAACCAGGCTTATAATTTATCTAGCGTACTGTCCGATTTGGATACGGATCTTTCGAACTTCGGAACAAATTTTCAATAAATCGCAAAAGTGATCACAAAACGCATGATATTTTTAAATTCTACACTCTTTAATTATCTTATTTTAAATCAAGGTTTTTCCTTAAATTTTCGCACGACGGCTGAAAATACATATTTGCATCTATGAATGTTATGACAGAGAACTGTCAAACTGCTGTCACAGTTCGGTGACTTATATTATAAATAAAGGA